CCAAACAGAGGTCAAGCAGAAGTCAGCCGGCAGCAGCTGAGAGTCCTGCTTTTTCTCAAGCACGTGTCTCCGGCATGCCATTAAAGACGCTCAGCATGCAGTTTGCGGAGCTCTTATTTTGGGGACAGAGTTTTTCGTTCACAGTGGGGGGAGGTAGAAGTGACTGGAATCCCTATTACCTGGGAAGGAACAGTCCAGTAGAGGACACCTGCTCGAGGACTGAGAAGGTTGAAACAGGGAGATGGAGCTCCCTGGACCCTCTGTCGCCAGGCCACATGGATGGCCGGCCCTAGAGCCCCGGAACCTAGGGATCAAGGTACAGCTGTGCTGTACCAGACACGAACAAAATAACTGGGAAAGGTGATTCGCTCTGATGTTTTTAGTTACAAGTAAAAGCTACTTTAATTCCATTGTAACATGTACATTTTTGTTTGAATTGTATATGTACAGGGGGCGGGCACCCTAATCTCTAAGGATATTTATCCAGCCTTGTTGACTAAGATCCCAACACCCCCTCCCCCCCGGCCACTCCCTGGCATTTCAGAGCAGCTGTGCTTTTATCTGTTCTATGTGCAAAAGAGTAATATTAGCACAGTCGAGAAGATACTTTACAGAAAAAGTTTCTTTTATTCATCTACTTCTTTGTTCTGTTTGCTTAGATAAGGGCAGTGACTAGACCTGATTTATATCTTTGAATGATTATTCTGGAAGGGGGTGGGGTTGAAGGTGGGTAAAACCTCCGGACCTCAGTGTTGGCGTCTGTGAAACAAGTCTGGTTCTAGCTTCAAAATTCTGTGATGCTTGGTTGTGAAGGAGCGTGATGACTGAGTTTCTGTAAATGACAGGTTTTGCTTACGAAAACCAGCCAGGGAGATTATGTGTTCCTGGCATCTGGAGTCACAGAGACTTGTGTTAATGGCCTTACCAGAAAGGGCTTTTGTGGGGTTCCTTTGGCCCCAAACAAACTAGCTGTTGATGTAATCAGGAGACCACAAAGAATACATTTTCCCGCCCCCATACCTCCTGAGCAGTGTGTGTGAGTCCCCTGTGACTCATGCTTCCATGCCTTAGACCATGGAGAAGGTGGCCATGTGTCCAGGGTCAGTCTATGCCTCTCCCTCCTCTGCAGACCCCAGCTTGATCCTCCTGTGGCCTAGATGGACCTTAGGACATTATGCTAAGTGAAATACCGTATAACCTCACTTATATGTAGAATATAAAACAAAACAAAACCCTGAACTCATAGATATAGAGAGGCAGATGGTGGGGGGGTGGGTGAAATGGGTGAAGAAGGTCAAAAGGTACAAACTCCCAGTTATAAAACAAATAAGTCATGGGGATGTAATGTACAGCATGGTGACTACAGTTTATAATATTGTATTACATATTCAAAAGTTGCTAAGAGAGTAGACCTTAAAAGTTCTCATCATAAGAAAAAATAATTTGTAACTATGTGTGGTGGTGCTAATTAGACTTATTGTGATGGTCAGTTTACAATATATACAAATGTCTTGACATTGTATACCTGAAAGTAATATAATGTTATAAGTCAATTACACTTCAATAAAAAAGAAAAAGAACAAACAATCCAGAAGAAGAAAAAGGGGTTGTTTCTTTACAATATCAAATTCTTAGGCCCCAGGGACTCCTCGTCTATGCTCCTCCCACTGAGTAGAAAACCTGTGCCCGTCCCTATGAATCTTAGAACATTATAAGCAATTAGCAGATGTTCTGTATTACCAGTGAAAATAACAAAAGCAGTAAATTTTCATATATATATATACAGTAACTTAAAAAAAAGTAATACATGCTCATGTTTAGAAAATTCAAATGCTATAAAGACATAAAGAATGAAAAGCAAAAACTTCCACTCCTGGCCTAACACCCCAAAGGTAATCACTGTTACAACTGTCTTGGGATTCCGCTCATGAAAGAGTTTTCATTTTTATACTCTCATCTACCCATCTACTTAATTCTAAAAAATCTGAACCAAAGGAATGACCCTATCCATATTATCCTGCACTTAATTTGTTCCCACAGATCATCATTCTTTTTATTTTTATTTTTTTAATTAATTAATTTATTTCTGATACAGATGTTTCTCCTTCTTCCCCCACTGATTCCCCCCTCCCCCTCCCTCCCCACCCTGTCCCCAGCTCTGTTGTCCATGTCCATTGTTCATGCACACATGCATATAAGTTCTGTGGTTTATCTTCCCCCACCCCCTCTTTTGGGGATTATCAGTCTGTACCCCACTTCCACGTCTCTGGAACTACCCCATTCCTCAGACTGTTATGTTCAGTATATTCCACAAATAAGTGAGATCATATGATACTTGTCTTTCTCTGTTTGGCTTGTTTCACTTAGGATAATACTTTCCAGGTCCCTCCATGTCATCTCAAAGGATAAGAGATCTTTCTTTCTTACAGCTGCATAGTATTCCATTGTGTATATGTACCACAGCTTTTTTATCCATTTGTCTACTGATGGACATTTGGGCTGTTTCCAGATCTTAGCTATTGTAAATAGTGCTGCTATGAACATGGGGGTACATATATTCGTTCTGATTGGTGTTTCAGGCTTCTTCATCACTCTTTTTAATAACTATTAAATAAGTTCATATTTGTAACACACTGGAACAGTGTTTGGCGTATAACAAGCACTACATCTTTGTTAAGTGAATGAATGAAAGTTGCTGTATGGTATTCTATTACATGGATATACCTACTTTATTTTACTGTTTATGGACACTTCTGTTATGTCAATTGCTATAACAAACAATGCAGAAACGAACATCCTGGTATGCACGTCTTGGGGACTCTACTCTGGTAATCAGTACCATCAGCATGGTCACCAGCACTGTACTTAGAGTGGCAACAGTGGGCGTGGAGCCAAAGGGATTACAAAGAAAAGTTACTGATGAGGTAAAAGCAGAAAACAGGACTGGAATTGGGAATTTTGCCTGGGACCTAGAATCACAGGATTAAAGATCCTAGATCTAGAAGGAACCTTAGGAGGTTGTTTGCTCCAGCCTCTGGACAAGGAATATATTACATCTGTAGTTCCCACAGTGCACTGAGCCCTGGCGAGCCCTGGTGAACTCACTGGAAAAGTACACATGTGTAGGGGGGCTGCAAAATCTTTAACATTTTGGACAAGAATAGTGATATTTGACATCTCTCAGACACTTTGTGAACTGCTGGCTCAAGATAGTTTACAGTTTAACATTAATCTTACTGCATTACTTTTGATGCTGTTGTAATTTGAGGAGCTGAGCTCTGGCTGGTTGCCACGATATGGCAAGTACTGTGCACCAATGAATGTGGAACAGGAAGTGAACACGGCCTTGTTCAGTCGGACTCCGCAGTCTCAGAAGTTACGCGGTGTCCAACCATTGCACACCTCCCATTAGTCAGTAGCTGGTTAAGAATGAAAGGCATATTTTTTCTTTCAATTAGTGTCTATTTTTTTTTTCAAACAGCTACTAATTAGTTAGGACATAAATGCTCATTAAGTTGTTTGAACCTATCTACGTAATAAACGGAACTGCCAGGTATTTCTTTTGTCTTGGAGTGCTGTCAAGAAATTACTGAGACACTAAAAGTGCTGTGAATTGAAAAGGTTTGGGAACAACTGACTTATATACTTTATCAGAACTCTTTTAGCTGCAAGTGATATTTGATATCTCTCAGACACTTTGTGAACTGCTGGCTCAAGATAGTTTACAGTTTAGCATTAATCCTACTGCATTACTTTTGATGATGTAATTTGTGGAGCTGAGCTTTGGGTGGTTGCCACGATACGGCAAACTGACCCTGCTTAAGCAAACCCAGAAATTATTGGCTTATAACCTGAGACACCCTGGCCTGCAGATGGTGTCAGACTGGGCTGGGTTCAAAAGCCCAAATGAAGTAACAAGGCTCCGATTCTCTTTCCATCTCTAAGATAGGCTCTCCATACATGGTTGAAATAGCCCCACGTCCGTCCTTCCCAGACCCACACCCTTCAGTTTCGCATCCCAGCAGAAAGAGTCACCTTTCCCAGTAGAAGCCCTGGAGGATTTTGGTCGACCTAGTCTGGATTGCTTGTCCTGGGACGTTCCATCCAGGACAAGTCCCTGGGCGGAGGCTATGCAGAGTCGTGATGTCTAAGCCTAGGTCACGTATCCATCCCTGTGCTCAGGCGAGCGCCCTAACTAAAACACGGAATATGTAGGTTCTTCACAGAAAAGAGGGGGCTCTGTTACCAGGAGAATGGGAGAAGGGGTACAGGACCCAAAGCAATGAATCTCCCACTTTGTAGGAGAGGGAATAGGCTGGGGATATGCTAGTTTAATAGTTAAACATGGAGGCTCTGGAGTCCCACCCATTCTGGCTTCACTTCTTTGGGCAAATTACATCTACACCTTTAAAGCTTTAGAGTCCTCACTTCTTTTTTTTTTTTTTTTTTTTTTTTAATCCTCACCCGAGGACATTTTTCCATTTTTTGTTCAGGTAGAGTGGGAGGGAGAGAGAGGAACAGAGAGAGAGAGAGAGAGAAACATTGATGTGAAAGGGACACATCGAGTGGCTGCCACCCGCACAACCAACCAGGGCCGGGGACACACTGCAACCGAGGTACATGCCCTTAGCGGGAACCGAACCCGGGTCTCTCAGGACCGCAGGCCGACGCTCTAACCGCTGAGCCAAACCGGCCAGGGCTAGAGTCCTCACTTCTAAAATGGAAACAACTGAAGATGAAGGCAAGAAATAAAATAGCCCCAAACAGTAGTCCCTACCTCCTTGGGTTGGTGGTCGAAGTGAGGCCTGGGTTAGTACCGGGAAGTGCTCAGCACAGAGGAAGCCCTCAGTACACAAGGCCGTTATTATTGATCAGGCAACCTTAGAGATCACACAGCTGGTGAGTGACCCAAGTTTCCGACTCCTGGAGCAGGCTTCCTTCCAACTAGGGAGGCAGGGAGAGGGCACAAAACAGTGATTCCTCTTTCCTGTCTGTTCCAGAGTGACGCAGCATGGATGCCGTCAGCCAGGTCCCCATGGAAGTAGTGCTCCCCAAGCACATCCTGGACATCTGGGTCATTGTCCTCATCATCCTGGCCACCATTGTCATCATGACCTCCTTGTTGCTGTGTCCGGCCACTGCGGTCATCATCTATCGCATGCGGACTCACCCTGTCCTCAACGGGGCTGTCTGAGAACCTGCCAAGAGGGGCCGGGGAAGGATGTGGGCAGCGTCCCCTCCCCTAGACTCCTCCCTGTCGCCTAGCAGCAGCAGGAGGGACTGTGGAGTGTAGAATCTGGAGCTCGATATGGGAGGGGAGACCCAAGTTTTGGTTTTGATTCTGCCACTGGCCAGCTGTGTGAGTTCCATCAGGGGACCTAATTCTGTGAGTTTCAGGTTCCTTGTCTTTCAAATGGGGATTGTGATCCCTGCCCTTCCTACCTCATAGGCTTGTGAGAACCAGTGACTTGGTGTAGGTTAAAGCTGTTGGTGAGCAGTGAAGCCACCACAGATATCCAGGTGTTATAGCTGAATGCTGAGAAGCTCTGAGGAACCAAAGAACCTGATCGCTGATGATGGCCTTCAAGGTGGCGAGGGAGACACTGGGGCAGAGCAGCCTTTGTCCTTGTCCCTTGGGTCAAACCAAACAAAGACACCCTGTCCTCATTCCCAGGGGCCAGTAGCAGATTGGCTCGAAGTTATTTCCTTTGAGGTGCCGATCCCTCAAGTTTTCTAATTTGGGAGGGAACTGATCATGGCAGGGGGAGGGAGATGAGTGGAACTTTCCAAGACCTTCTGGGTGCCAGACTCTCTGCCCCTATGCCACCTGGAGGAGGGCTCTGTCACTTCTTGGCAATGCCAAGGGAGCTGGGACAACTCCTTCTGTTCTGGAGTGTCATAGCTTTGACACTCTAGCAATGTTGGATGCAGGGTGGCTGAGTTCCCTGGCCAGCTTTCAGGACCTCCAGCCCCATCCCCTTGTATGCCCCCCACTAGGGGAGCTCTGTCCCTCGGCCCCAGCTCCTGCTAGAATTAGCTCCATGGTATGATGTGTACCCCATTCACTCCCTCCACCAGCACTGCAGCCAATCCAAGGTACAGACTAATATTTTGAGAGATGTTCTCAGAATTTTTGAAACGAGCTCAAAACGATGGTTATTTTAGATGCTATGATTTATATTTATATAAAGAGATTTCTGGACCAGTCAAGCTCTTTGATCCAAATCAGGAGCATCCTTGGATTTATTAAATTATGTAAAAAGATAGCACAGATATCAGGACATTATTGTGTGAAAATGATGCTTTTACTTAGATCTCATTGATGTACACAACCAATTTCCAATAAAGTATTAGAACAAGCATGTCTGAGGTCTTTCTTCAAAGAGTACATATTAAACTCAGGGACTCAGGTCAAAGTTCTCCACTGAATTTATGGGTCTTAGAGACACAGTTTGAATGCAGGAGCAGAAAGGGGAAGCGAAGAATCAAATTGACTTCCAGGGTTCCAGCTTCGGCAAGTGGGTGACTAGTTGTGCAACTGACACAGACACAGAATGCAGGGAGAACAGGGTTTGGAAGTAAGATATGAATTTAGTATTGGACCTGCTGAGTTTCAGGTGCTTATGATACTCAGGTGGACACGTTCAGGATGCAGTTGGAAACCTGGGTCTGTTTGTTGAGAGAGATCTTACGGCTGGAGTTACATTTGGGGGATCATCTGCACATGGTAGGGGTGGCAGAAACGTGTACGGATCACCCAGCCAGGGTGTAAGACTGAGAGGAGTGAGGTACTGAAAGCAGAACTTGGAGACCACTGAATAGGAGTGAAAGGGGACTCGAGAGAAACCAGCAGAGCAGAGACAGGAGGTCATGTGGTAGGAAATGATATGAGAGGAATGCAATCATACTTTGAGAGTTAATGAACGAGTGGGAGCTTAGGAAGTGGACACACTGGGAACAGACAACTCTTCCCAGGAATAGGACTATAGTATAGAGGTAGGAATTAAAAGAGGAAATAGTGGTCAAGGGCAAACATGGAACATATGAGGCTGCAGCCAGCCTCACATGGCATACTTATTTGCAGCAAACTTTTTGTTATGAGCAGAGAGTACACTCGAAAGGATCCCAACCCTTTATCCCCGCCATGGATACACCAATTCAACAACACACAGACCAGTTCCATTTCTGAGGCTCCTGTATCCAGTGTGAGAGCCAACCAGTTGTGCTGGAGCTGGTTGGAACATCTGTGAGACCATCCTCCCCTCAGCACAGTGGAACATGATCACAAGGAAACCCTCAGCTTCTCCCTGGGGAGGGAAGGGGAGGACTGGACCATACGCCCAATGCTGTGACCATTTCAGGGGGCTGCCTGAGGGACCAGTTTCTGTGTTGCCTGAACCTAAGCACTGACAGGAAAGGACCCCAGGTTGGGAGCCACTGAGGACTAAAGCACCAGTTTGGACTAATACACACTCGTTTCTTTTTTTTTTTTTATCCTCACCCGAGGATATTTTTCCATTTTTGTACAGATAGAGTGGGAGGGAGAGAGAGGAAGGGAGAGAGAGAGAGAAACATCGACGTGAAGGGACACATCGAGTGGCTGCCACCCGCACGACCAACCAGGGCCGGGGACAAACTGCAACCGAGGTACGTGCCCTTAGCGGGAACCGAACCCAGGTCTCTCCGGACCACAGGCCGACGCTCTAACTGCTGAGCCAAACTGGCCAGGGCCACACTCGTTTCTTTTAGCAGTACATTTAGGCCTTGCCTTAATTTTGTTTAATTAAAGTAAGTGCCGAAGGCATTAATAATCTAGAAGTCAGTATGTTTGTACCGGGGACATGGGCACTCACACAACCCAGTGTCTGGCTAATGGGTCGGGTACAGCAAAGAACTCCATTGTGGTCCCGTTCTTTAGACAGTTAACCTTGACCCCCCCCCCCCCAATAACACAATATACAAGAACTTAAAGCACCAGAACCAGTCTCGGAGACCAGCCAGGTCAGACCTTGAGTCCCACTGCCGGTGATACACAGCAGAAGTACCTGTCCAATATATTCAGAAGCACCTGTCCAATATATTTTGGGAAATAACATAATGATATATGCAGGTTTTAAAAAATATATTACTTGCATATAATTGCCATGATGTGCATTTTTTGAGCCGATTGTGAGACTGGTCTGTGATTGTTGATGTATTCTGTTGTTAAATTAAAAGAGAGGTTGGTTTATTTTTAAAAAACCTATTTAGAGGTCTATTTTGAATTAAAAATTTTTATGCCACTGCCAAAAAAAAGGAAGTTGTGGAGGGGAGAGCAGACATGCTCTATGGGCACCAGAGAGCAGAGCTGACTAGGGTCACTGGGGGTACATTTCCTTTAAAGAAGAACTTTATTTATTTATTTATTTAATCCTCACCTAAGGATATTTTCCCACTGATTTTTTTTTCCCCCCAGATAGAGTAGGAGGGAGGGAGAGAGAGAGATCACATCGATTGGTTGCCTCTCACACGATCCCGACTGGGGCGGGGGACTGAACCCACAACCCAGGTACGACATTGCCCTGGACTGGGGATTGAACCCTGGACTCTTTGGTCCTTGGGTCGACGCTCTAACCGCTGAGCCAAACCAACCAGGGTTGAAGAAGAACTTTGAAGTACACAGTTCCCTAATATCTCTGTGGGCCGGTTCAGAAGGGGGTGTTCAAAAGTGCCGGGGTTAACCATAGTGTGGGGGGCTACAGAGGAGATTCCTGCAAGTCAGCGTGGTAAGAGTGCGAGGAGTCAGAACCAGGTAAGTTCTGAGTCCCTTACAGCTCTCAATCTTGATTCCAGGACGCTCACAATACAAACCTTGATTTACTAAGCTGTCAACCTCTGGAGTGACAACCTGGGGAAACGGTGAACCGCTCCGCTGGAAAAAATAGGAGCCACACTGCCACCTGGTGACCATAACAATTATTCTTTTTTATTCATTGGTTTTTGATTATTGGGGGGAAAAAAGCATTATCATTCATCAGTAATTAAGATACAAAACTTTCCTTAACTTGTTGACATTTTTTCCTTCAGTGCATTTTCTTTGTAACATCCTCTTCTGAAAAAGACCTACTTTGTTTCTATTTTTTATTTCTATAAGTAACCCATTTTTGCATCTACATCCCCATTCAGTTGTCTGATCATTTCTTTGCAATAATTTCCTAAGAAAGGGCCAAAGATTATTGTCTAATTTTAAAGCTATAGATAGACAGATGGATAGATAGATAGATAGATCTTTAGTAGTATATTACAACCATATTAAGTTTATGTTCATAATGCAAGATTGCTTAGCATGTAAAATCAAACTGTTGACAACCACCACACAGACACAAAGAAGGAAACGCTGTGATAATCTCAGTGGGTGCAGAAAGTGCACTTGAGGACTTGAGTGCAAGTGTTTATTTGGAAGATGATCCTAGGAAACACAAGTGAGGAAACTGGGAAAGTGCAAAAAAAAAAAAAAAAATAGAAAGAAAAGCTAAAAAAATAGAATGCATCAATGAGTGGGTTAACATCATGAGAAATTGGACAAGCTCACTAAGGACTCTCAATTATTGTGGAAAAAAAAAAAAAGCCTTAGAATCATGCTAGCAGATAACAAAGGGGTGCTGGGCCTTTATTTATTTATTTTTAATCCACTGATTGTCATTTCCTGAACTTCAGGGTGCTGCTCCTAGCAGCTGAGCAAGCTCCCCCCGTGCTGAGAAAGCCCGCAGGCAGACAAGAGGAAGCCCCTGATGTGGAAAGCTGCCAGGGGCAATACCTCTTGTGATTACTGCTGACCAGTGGGCCAGGGGGATGTGGGGCAGGTCAACAGCACAGGCTAGGGAAGCCAAGAGGATAATTTCAGAGGCGAGAAAGAGTTATGCACAAAAGTGTGGTAACATTTTTTTTTCTTTATTGATTTTAGAGAGAGAAGAAGAGAGAGGGAGAGAGAGAGAGATTGAAACATCGATGAGAGAGAACATCAACTGGCTGCCTCCTGCATGCTCCCCACCGGGGGTTTGGCCCATAACCTGGGCATGTGCCCTGACCGGGAATCGAACCGGTGACCTCTTGGTGCATGGGTCGACACTCAACCACTGAGCCACACCGGCCAGGCAAGTGTGGTAACATTGTTAAGAGCTAACTGATTTTTTTTTTTTTTTTGTCGAAGATAATATAAATGTGGATCTAAATGATCAGAAAACACTGATACAGAGGTGGAGGGGGGTAGTAGATCCAGCTGTACTCTTTAGGTCAGGGTAGCTGTGGAAATGTATTAGCTTTAGAAAGTATGTTTCTTGTTTGATAATAGGTAAGATTAATGTGAGGCATACTATATAAACATTACTAGTATATGTTTTTACCTGTGAATTTTAAAAACAAGTTCTCATAGCAACCTATCAGATGGTTATAATAACTGCTATCATCATCCCATTTTACAGGGAAGAAAATGAAGCTTCTAGAGATTTAGAAACGTCTAGGGTCGCAGCTATCAGCAGTAAACTAGGAAATGCTCCCGTGCAGTCCATCTCTACAGCCAATACTTTTCTCCTTAATGCTCTACTATGATTTGATGTTTAAAATCAACAGAGAAGTGAAATATTTGTTAACACAACAGAGAAGTGAAATAGAAAACAGATATGAAGGTCATAGAGCTCATCCAAACTAAACCATTGATAAGTAACACATTTTTACATCTATATCCCCAGACAGTTGTAAGCTCAGTGTAAACAGTCTGTTCTAATAAAAAGATAAATATTGTTAGACTGGATAAAATATTGAACAACATGATCCTTATATGAGACACAAATAGAAAGACAACTGAATGTTGAAATTCAAGTTGGAAAAAAAAGCACTATATAAAACCTACCAAAAGGGAAGCTTCGGTGGCTGTGCTGAAATTAGTCAAAGCAGACTTCATAGAAGAAAAAAGAACTAGACATGGGAAGCGATACACTTCAGTATTGTACAAAGGTAAGTTCACCAGGAATATGTCATAAATATTTTAGCCGAAGCATCAGCAACCGATGAACAGTGGCATGTTTCCGTTGTGAGGCAATGCACTCATTTTCATTTCTAAATAAATACTATAAAGGAGACAAAATATACCCCTTGATCAGGAAAAGAGGCCTTATGTCTTGAAGGCAAGACATCTGTCATGTGTACTCTGGTCCCGGCTCTGTGAGTCTGAGTTTCCATGGTATCTGAGGCTCTGGTTCTAATTCACATGTCAGCTGTGAGGCAGCTAACCTCACTCTCACTGTCTGGAAATCCCTGTGGCAGGAATGGACTCATGTGGGTCCCAGTGCGGGAGAATTCACTACCATAACAATAGGAGACAGTGC